GGGGGGGGGGGGGGTTCTGTCTGTACCTTCTACTTCTCTTTCATTTGTTCCATCATCCTAATCTTATTATAATGAAATGCAGCATTTGGTGTGACATCTTGCTGTACTATGCAGCTTCTCTCAACTATTCTGACTTGAAATTGTGTATAATTATTGTGGGTTTTTTTACACTTTCATGCTATTTGAAGTACAGCCTTATAACCAAATAACTTTTATCCCAGTCTTAACAATTTCTGATTTTTAACATTTTCACACTATTTGAAGTACAGACTTCTAACCAAATAACTTTTATCCCAGTCTTAACGTTCATTTTGTTATTCACAGATATTTGACGCCGTTGTGTTCAATCTACCCGGCCAAACCAAGTCTACCAGATCTCAGGCTGTGAAGAATGTGCGCGTTCACGCATGTTCTATCCTTGTCAAAATATGCAAAAATTACCCAGAGTTATTATTGGTGAGTTTATTTTAGGAAAGTAAAGTAACTTGGTTTTTTTATGGTCATAAGGACATTTATAAAAAAATCCAAAACATGCTAAGAATCAACAAATAAAATGGGGACTTAATGACTCTATGCAGTGGCGCCAAAATGACTAGCATTCTCGAGGCTGTTTCACAGACATTGCTTTACATTGTTTGTATTTTTTTCTCCCTCTAGCTGCAGACTCAGCATAGCCCTATCTTTGTGAGTTTAAGCTGGATTTGTCGGGAAAGTGTTAAGAAAATGGGAGATGTCAAAAGAATTTTATTATCTTTTAAAAAGGGACAAAGCGGAAACTAACACAAGTTGTGAGAGGAGGAGGTTCTGTTGTGTTGCAGCTGCTGCAAATGTCTGTGTGGTATCATCAATATTTTCTGTTTTGCAATAATTGAACATGTGGCTAAACAGCTAAGCATGTGCTGTAAATGTCCGTGGGGGGAAGGAAATAATCTATTTTAAAGCACATATGTATCACAACACGATGGAATCAGTTTTTAGGCACATTGAGTTATTGGTATAATCTTAAAGCCTGTTCATTTGCCTTACTTTTTAAGAAAAAGTACCCATCTATCTCGAATAGAAGTCGTGATGTTTACGATTGAAGGAGGTGAGGGTAGCCTGGTGTCAGGGGTAGAATTTGCGAGAAAATGGCCGCCAAAGTTTGATGACATTCAAAGCCGCTGTGTCCTTTGAAATTAAAACATGTTTGTTTTAAAGTGAAAATAAAAGGCATTGAGCCCAAAGCAAAGAAAGTAGAATGAGGGAAAAAATGTTGACTTTTTTTCAATTTCCTTATTTTGAGGAGTGACTGATTTCACCACGATGCCTCACATATTTCTTTTTGTGAGTAGTTAGTCAGTCTTTAGTGTTGTGTGTTTTATGGTTGTATGCTATGGAAGACAGAGTAAGTATGGGGGGAAAGGTGGCTGACAGCAATATGGAGCTGAGCGATTTGTTCAAGTTTCATGGTTATAGAATGAGATGATAGATGGTGGTGTTCCTATGAGACAATGTTGACTCATTACCTTCAATCTTTTTATCTCACCTCTTAAATGTCAAAGATAGGTGTTGCTAAGATTTTTATTTTTTAATTCAGAGCAAAGTTTTAATCTAAATAACCAAAAAAAACCCCAAAACATTTATGCAATCGCGACCTCAGTGCTTTCTTGTCGTATCTCCATTTTTTTAAACAATTAGAATGTGACTCCTTCTTCAGCTCGCTCTTTGTTATGAAATGTTTTCACTGTTATTAGAAATGGAGATACGACAAGAATGCACTGAGGTCGCGCAATGGTGATCTTTGATTTAAGTTTTGCTGTGCAAAACCTTCTGAGTTGAGGAAAATACCTAAGCCGATTCCAGCAGAACGAGTCAGGGAATTTACTTTTCTTTTCTCTACAGCCTGAGTTCCAGCATCTGTACAACAGCGTCAAGCAGCTGGATAGAGACCCGGAGCAGCTCAGTCAGATGGAGAAAATCATCCTCATAGAAGCTCTTATCATTGTCAGGTGAGGCTTATGTTGCCTGAGTATGAAATGGATCTTTTAGTTTTCTTCTTCTTCTTCTTCTTCTTCTTCTTCTTCTCCCCCTCCTCCCCCTCCCCCCC